TAATAGGGGAGAACAATACATAAATTGGGGGAATAACACAAGAAACTTAGCAACACACTACCACACAAAAGAATCTGTAAGGATCTGTTATTTCACAACCTGAGGCCTCTGTGTTTTACTAGGAACACTTCTTCAACTTCACTTCTTTCTGTACTGTTTGTGCACATGAAAGTGATCCTTATTTGTCCTGCTTCAGTGTACCTCGAGTCCAGTTTGCCCATGACACCAGAGCTGCAGCAGGCTCAGAAACAGCTGTGGATTAAAGCAGCAGAGATTAATGACTTACAGGCCAGAGTTCTTCCACATAAGCACTGTAGCTAATGACCCACCCCAAATTATACCGGCACTTAGACAAACCCTTATTTGCATAGCATTTCTGCTCATTCTCCTTCTGCTTTATCTCCAGGAGCCAGGCAGGAGCACACAGGGCCACAGCTCTGTGAGGCTCTGTTTGTCCATGGCTCCAAGGTGTCATCTGCCACTTCCAACATGGAAGCTCAGACCTGATGAGTTCCCAGGAGATCCTTTGAAACACAGAAGTCTTTAAGTTTTTTGATATCATGTCTTTCTGAAGCTAAAAATTGAGTTTGTATTTTGCATTAAAAATTGAAAGAGCAGCAAGGCAGATGCTCCAGCAGCCTAGTGTGGGAACCACACCACGAGCAAAGCAGTAAGAATATTTTGGCCATCCTTTCCAGGTCTGGATAAATTATTACTACGATTTCTTTCTTTTTCTCCTCTCTTCTACAGCATATGCTAAAAATTCTTATTTTCTTCCTTTTTTCCCCCCTGTATTGTTCCTTCCAACACCTGTTTTGTGACAGAGTGAAACAGTGGCAACTTGATAATCTGGCAGCTGGCCGATGTCAACCTCACACAATCTGGCTTCTTCTGAAATGGCTAATCGTGTATTTTCTGCACTTTAAGAGGAAATCAAATACATTGTCTCCAATTCTTAGAGCATCTTTGCTATTCTTCCACACAGAAAATCAACAACTATTTTTTGTATTTTCTACATTTTTGTAACGCTGGTAAATAATGTAACTGGTAAATAATGTAAGAGTAAATAATGTAACTCTTTGGGTTTTGCTGCCCTTTTTTTCTTTTTTCTTAATAGATAACATTTACCTCATTCCCATCCTTTCAGATGTTACTTTCCCGGTGTACTGATGAATGGTGCCGTGCAACTTTCACCATTTCCACAGCATCATCAATAGCCAAGTTCAGCTTAAGGCAATTTAGGAATTCAGCTATGGAAAATCTCATTTGTTCTAACCCACTTGAAAGGATAAACCAAATCATAATGCGTGATCAACTGAACAGATAGCAGGATTTGCTACAGTGGCTGTATTAAGAGGGCATTATTTCCAAATGCAGAGAGAAAAATATGTCTATGACTGTGAATACAGACTGAAATTTTGAAGCCCTTCCCAAAGTACTGTTGCATTCATGTTTAATATCCAGTTTTCAAAGGCATATAACTAAAGAAATTTATCAAAGCGTAATCAACCAAACCTTAACCAAACACCTGGGTAGAATTTTTTTAGTGATGATACTTGTGTGTACCCCAGTGCAGCAGAGGATATCACAGTGATCAATTCTGCATGCTCTTTTCTGAAGTATAGAAACAGTTAACTCAGCAATTTGTCTTGCAGACTTGCAAAAACAATCCAAAGATGACTGTATAATGAGTTATAGTCAATTTCCACAGGTTGATGCACAATTCTATTTATGATTAAGCTACCTGAACCCTGCATACAGTACTTGGCAAAAGAATTAACAGACATTTGCTGATTTTCCTTACCAGTTTTCAGAATATCCAGATTCTTCTAGCAGGAGATTGCTGCTTTCAACCCTGTTCAGGATATACACCTCAGTTCTGCTACTGCCATTTCAGTCAGCACAGCCAAACACTATTTCTGATTATACCCTAAAGCAAGTTTCTCTCCACGTTGCATACAGGCTGATCGTTTGTGCTTATGTTCTTAGGGCCCCTCATGGTCCTCTGTCTGTACTTTCAAGACTTTTGTTATGATTCCAAGATTGTTATTTAAGCTCCTTAATGGTTCTAAATTATCTTTGTTCTGAGGTGCAAACTCAACAGACCTTATTTCTGACTGGTACACACATTTATTACAGGGCAGCTGAAAATTTGTTCTTTATAGCTGTGTTTCACTAAGAGAATCTATCAGCACAAAGCATGTATTTATTATCCTTTTCCTGTCATGGAAAAATATATATTCCCAAAGATAAAAACTTTCCCAGCCCATGAACAGTTAATGAATTTCAACAGAATTTGATGTTCCTGACCAAAAAAGTACTTGGAGAGGAGATGGGCCATTGGTAATTTTGTTTCACAAAACACCCAGCAGAACACCCTGTCATTTTCTTGACCCAAAAGGTTTTCACTACATTTCCTCTCCCCTGTCCAGTTGAGGAGAGGAGTCATAAAGAAGTTTTGGTGGGCACTTGATACCCAGCTGGGGTGAACCCAACCATACCCATCAGGAAAAAAGGAAAAGTATCTTACAAATGTTTTCTCACTGGCCACCAATTATTCTGTTTTAAAGGTATTTTACTGGTGCAAACTCTTCTGTCTTAAGCAAAGCAATATTGGCTACACCACGGCAGACCTGAATGCTGTCTACAATAGCCCCAGGGGAGCCATTACCCCTTTCCATTGCCATAGGCCAGTGACTGCAGTTCAGGAGGATTCCTTCCCTGTTGATGCATCATGCCAGGTATTGAAATAAGACTGAGTAGAAGCAAATAAAGCTATATGCCAGTGTGGGGGGAATTTTAATGAGAACAGAAGCTCATTTGGCATCAGCAATATTCCCAGCAAATTTTCTCTTTTTCCATGAATATCAGAACAGTAAATGAATTTCCCCAGTTATATTCTTTAATAGAAACAAATAGGCTCTTTTAGACCTCATAAGGAGCTTACCACCATCCATGATGTACTGCATTTCTTCTTCCCCCTTTGAAAATGAAAATTCAGAAGGTTTTGATCCCTTCCTTTTTAATTCTGCTTTCCCTTTCCCACTGTCCTCACACAAAGAGCAAATGAGTGGGATGTACCTCCTCAGGAACAGACCCTACCCTAGCTCATTACCCTCCCATCACCATCACCTGAGCCATGACTGTGAGTTAGAGGCAAGTGAATGGACCCTGGTGAGAGCCTGAGGTGTGTCAGCTAGCCAGACATTCTTTCTGCACCTATTGACAGAACTGAACTTTCAGTCACTTAAGAATTTAAATTCACACTGACCTGTGATGTAAATAGAGGGTAATTTTCCCATGTACTTAAACCTCATTGATAACACATATGTTGTTCTTCTATTCGTATGTAAAAGGCAAGGTTTGGTGACATATCTTTCACATGCTCGGCAATACTTGCTATGGGGAAAGCACTGAAAAAATAACAAAAAGAAACAATAATCTTACTGTTATCACCTTGCTGTTTTAACAGCGTGCTAAAAGCTACACATGTAAAAAGATTACAGAGTGCATTGCAAAGCTCTAACATTTAATATTTTGCTTCAAAATATCCAAGCAACGTTTACTAATTGCATTGATGGTTACAAAAATTATATCCCTAAATTAGCAATGGTTTATTACCAATATCTTTTCTCCTTTCCAAGAAAAGCAAAGTAGTTGCTCCAAAATATTTAATTAAAGATGCATTAAGCCAGAAATATCAGAAAGAAATACACTATTAACATTCCGATTCCACTTTAATGGTACTGGCTTTCACAGCAGGTCAGTAACAAACTCAAATTTTTCATTCCAAGGTAATAATAAAGAAACCTAGCCAATTATTTATTCCTTCCTTACTTAGCACAATTTTCTTTTACTCTGTCTGTATGTCACTGTTTGTTCTCTCTATCCTGCTATGCTGTCTGCAGTGATTAGCTCTAATTCAGTCCTAAGCTCTGAACCAGACATTAACATGCCACACCTGCACCTACCTGGGGCAAGGTCAGCTCTGCCAGCAGTTGGATTTCTGGAGGTCCCACATGATTAGCCAATCCCAGGCTTTTTAATGTCATCCTATCTAAGTTTTCTAGCACACCATGATGTGGCATAAATTGGTGCATTTTTTCTGTGAGGATGCCTGTTAATCTAATAGCAGCTGTGAGAAAGAAGGGAGACTTTGCAAGCAGGTCTCAATTTTGTGTGTGCAGTGCATCGGGGAAAACTGATATTTTGTTCTTGTTGATCAAGAATTGATTGCTCTTCAACTCATAGAGAGTGACTTGGTGTCAGAGCCTCTCTGAGGTATTTAGGATCATCCTCTGAGCTCTCAAATATCAGAAACATAATCCCTTCTAAGAAAATAACAGCCACCATCAGAAGTTCATAACTTGAGAAAGGAAGGAAATATAACATATCCAGAATATATCCAGCCTGGCACTGCCATCTTGAGCAATAGCTTTCCCTGATAGCAGCGAGACTCTTCTTACAGAATGCCATTGCTGATGAATTGATGCAAAGGTAACACAGATGGCTAAAGAGGCACACAAGGAAAACAAGGAAGTGTTCATATTGCTTTCCCTGTCATGTAAGAACTGATGCCATGCTGCCAGGACCGTTCAATTACAAGTTGTCCCTTATTTGCTGTCAACATAACTGACACTTATTTGATCAACCCTCCTTATCCTCACACAGAATCAAATTGTTCTATACCAAATATGCAAGAAGTTTAAATTTCTGTAAATAGAAGTAACAATTTGTGATCAGTGCATGCAGAAATCACTACACTGTGGATAAAGGTATCAAAAATTTAAAACATTTACCCTCCTCAATTTCAACAGAAGTTGCAAGGAAAAATTTATACACATTTTTTTACATTTTAGGAAGAATAAGAAATCATACCTTTTTCCATTATTGTTAAGTTCTGATTTATTTTTTGATAACATTGAAGCTTATTTATGGCTTCATGTTTATCTCATTACAATAGCTGTTTCTGTGCAAACCTATAAAAGACTCCCAGACACTTAAAAATTTTTGTGAATTGCCATTTAAGGATCCAACTTGCATAGCTGAGACATTTCCTGAATTTTCAGCAATGCTTACATCACTTATGCAAAAGTTATATTCCACAGTAACACAGCATTAAAAGGAAACTGTGGATTTCAAATATTAGCTTGTTGTACTCTTAAAAACTAGTCAGAGATATAAATGGGCCTAATGAAAAAGTCCCCAGCCAGTGCTTCTTCCATGAAGCTGTGAAGATTTCTGCAGACCTTATGTGATTCTGTAGCTTTTGTGATCTCTAACTAAAGTAAATAAGACTGTTTCTCTTCAACATTTTGTTATTTGTTTCCACATGCATCCCAACTGACAGTGTCAATCCCCTCACCATTCATTCAGCAGAGTCTGGAGAGTAAGACATATAAGATCCTGTCAAAGACCTACACTGGGAAAATATTTCCTTTAGATTTTTTCTTTCCTTACTTTAGCTTCAGTAAAATCAAGAAAAGCCCTCAAAACAGAGCCTACTGGGTATCCTGGAGTCCATTTAAAAGCCTTGCCTGAGGCTGTTTAGGTTGTTGCTTCCTGCTGGAGGCATTGGAGTATGAGGCCACCTTCAAGAGCTCCTTAGCAAATATGACTATACTAAAACTTCTCCTACTTCCTCAGATAAGTATGAAAAAATAAAAAAGAAAAAAAAAAGAAACTTTTGGTTCACTGATCTCCAAGTATCACAACTTTTCATAAAGCATAAAGCTGAAAGTTCTATTTCAACAGAGCCCTTTGGGACAATGTAATTTCTATTCTACAGCAGCACACAAGGAATGATGTGTCTATGCTGTCTCCTGGCAGCACTGATTATACTACATCTTTTAAACCTGTTATCAGCTCAGACTGAATACTGATGCCTTTCTCTACAGGTTATCAAAATTTGATGAGAAAATCACATTTTCCTGACTTTAATTCAACCCTCTGGCATTTTCTAGTGCATTGAGCTCTCACTGTCTCCCCAGGGCCACATTTGGGGGCAGAATATTCGTGGCAGATAGGTCTAAGTGCAATTCCACCTCAGTTTCCCCACCCACTGCAGTACCTGCAGGCTGGACATGTACAAACTCCTGCATATGCCACCTTTGTGTGAGAAAGATCTTTCCTGAAAGGGGCAATATATGGTACTGCACTGCAAAAAATTCCCATTTTGTCTGCCTGTTATGGCCAAATATCTTACCTCTTATACCTTTATACCATTGTCTCCCCATCTATCCTCCCTCCAAAATCAATCCTACAATGATTTACAGTTGCAGAGGATATTGTCTCTTTCCTATAACTCCATTTTTCCTTCAAGAAGAGATGAGAAAGCTCCCAGCAGGATGAATGGAATATTTAGCCTGAGCAGAGGCAATGCTCTCCTGACAAAGTGGTCAGTGCTTCATCAAAATATTTGGCAACTACAGAAATTAACCCATACGAGGCTCTGCCACTAGGACTGCAAAATGAGGATTAAACTTGAAGAGTGGCTTTAGCAATAAGAAATGTGACTTTACACAAATAAGTAAAAACCATGTTACTCTAACAAAAAAAGTGAAGATTTAGGGAAAAAAATCAAATCAAACAAACAAACAACAACAACAACAACAAAAAAAAACCAGCAACAAAAACCCCCAAAGTAGATATTCCTCTGAAACACAGATATATGGAGTTTCTGGCTATAACAATGCAGGAGTGAAGTAAAAGCAGGAGAGCTAGATAAAAGCTGAAATAGGCTTCAACTTGAAAAACATCCAGAATAGGTATTTTTAAAGCCCATTAAGAAGAATAGACTATTCAAAATATCCTGAAGTGCTGTTCTGCACCTTTGTAGAAGTTCAGACATATTTCAGTCCCAGAAATGAGTAGCAAAAAGAGCAAAGTGGTTATCTTTTCTGTTCTTAGCCTCACAGCAAGCTTTATTAGTAAAAGCCTAATCTCCATTCTAGAAACACAAATTGAATTCAGCTGAAAATGTAATGCATTTGGCCCCTAGTTCCTTTTCACTCAATAAATAGACACTTCAACTGCTATGAAAATTGTTTCAAGCCACATCTAGAAAGCACAGCCCACACCACAAATGACATTTCATTACAAAAGCAAGTCATTTTCTGCAATTTTTAGGGGAAGCAATGTTATGACTTCAGACTTCTGTGACATTTCTGATTTAGCTAACAAGGGCACTGGAAACCCAGATGTTGCTAGCATTGCAAGGAAATGAAGCTGACTTATTCAATGCTTCTGGTTTCCTTCAGAACTGATAGTCATAGTCCACCTTGGGATGTAGTCATCAGATCTGCAAGAAATTATTCTTACTAGGGTGAGTAAAGATGGAATAAACAGTCCATGCATTGTTTAATTCTCACCACTTCAAAAATCATTCTTCCCTGCTGGGTTTTCAGTCAGAAACAGACTGAGCAACTTTCTTCTACTTGTAGTGCAGTTAAAAGATTTTCACATTGGAATGAAAACTAGCCAAATCTCTTCATTTGGAAACTATATTAAATAATGATAGAGACCATGCTAGACAAAATTAAATTATGATAGAGACTTTTGACTGTCACTAAATCTGTGGCCCACAATGACTCCATAGATGGCCAGACATATACTGTGTACAAAAATGTGGCAATGTCCTTGCTAAGACGAAACACTCAATACTGGGTATAAAACAAACTCACCTGGACAGAAAGCTTTGTTGCAGTCACATTTTTTGTTGTTGCAGTTGAGTAATAAATGAATCAATCAAAGGATATGGTTTTGTCCTCTTTAGTCACTGACAAACAGACTGTATCCTCTATATGGACAAAACAAGGCATATGAGGACAAATGTGTGTTAGCATTGCTTGCCAGTCCATATGCTCAGCACAGTGATTACATATGGATTGCCATCCACAGTGCTCCCATTCTGTGCCGTGTTGATAGCACAGAGGTGGACTATGATGCACGTGACCAACAAGCATGTGCAGTGAGAAGAGATCTTACAGCTACCCAAGATCCAAACAGCAGATATGGCACCAAACACCTTGGCAGCAAATATTTGCTCAGGGAAAATGCACTACCCCTGGACATCCAGGTAACCCTTTACTGCTCTGTGAGGGCCCTTCCTTGTTTCTGCCCCAAAACCCAAACCACCACATAGTCAAAAAGCCATGCAACTTGATCCCAAGTCCGTCGCAACTCCAGCTAGCAATGCACAAAATGTAGCCCTACTTCAAAACTGCCAAGGAGTTGTATGGATGATTTTGAGGGAATTAAAATGCAAGTGTTAAGGCATTTCTAAAATGCATGAATTCTCTGAGAAACCTAGTTGTAGGTAAATTGAGGATTAAGAGACCTTTGGCAGTATGGATCAAAGCAACATTTAGAAAAGAGCTTTTACAGAAAAGACACAAATCTTCAGGCTAAACAAGTACTTTGTGGTCAAGTACTTGACCATAATACAGGCCACACACCTTACCCAACTATCCAACTTTGCTCTATTTGATCTATGAATCTTAACATGAAGCTCAAGCATTAAAGACTTGTCACACTTCTTGATGGCCATATTTAGTTGCCTGCCTTAAGAAAACTGAAAAGCAGCAATGTATTACTTGTTATGGAAACACATCTGCTTGGATTCTGCCTTTCTTTAGTAGTTTACATTTTGCTGCTACTTTAAGAAGCTACTTAATTTCAGAAATCTCAATTGCTAGGTATTTCTGTATTGCAATCAATTTACCTTTTCATTTCCTTCACATTAAAATAAACACCAAATTGACTGGAATTCTTAGATCTCTCACTAAAGTGGAAAAAACTTTAGGGTTTTTATTGAGTTTTTTACTTCTTCCCCTCCCCTTCCTCTAATAGTTGAAATGTTCTTATTTCTTTATTGAACCAAGTTTTCAGTGTGCTCCATTGTGGCCATTTAACTTCTTCATTGACAGATCCCTGCTTTTACACACACAGAGGCTGTTCTAGTACAGGAGGGAACCAATAGCGCACTGGTAACCTACCATGACACATTCTCATCTCCAGATGCATTTTGCAGAAGTAACCTGGTTTTTTGTCGGTTTTGTCAAATTTATTTATAAATACATGAACTTACCAGAGGAGAACTTCAACATACAATTGTTAAATATAATAGCATAAAATGAAAAGCATTATTCAAACTGAAATCCTTTTTTAAACTCTAACAAGAACAGAATTCTCCTCAAGAAAAACATTCATTTTACACATTTTTTTTCTTATTCCTTCTCATGCATCAAAGGTTGGCCTATGCTCCTAGGATTGTTCTTTTTATTTTCATTTTTCTTTCTTCAAAATGGTCTTTCTTCCATGAAAAGAAAACTTTTACATGAACGACCACTGGTTTGAATTAGTCATAGGATTCCTGCTATGCCAAATGTCTTGTTTGGCTGTTCTAAAAGACAAAAATATCATCTTCTTCCTTTCAGCCTTCACAATGAAGCAAAATGCTCCACTGTATATACATGTTTTCATAATTTCATGTAGCACTTATGTAATGACAAACTTTCCCACCTGATATGTCAGGTGACATTACATTTTAGGGGTGCTTTTTGGTTTTTTTTTGTGGTTGTTTATTTGTTTTGTTGGTTGTTTTTTTCTTTGTTTCTTTTGTTTTGTTTTCTGTTAAAAAAAATCCCAGTTGTTTACCAGAAATAGGCATTTTATGTAGCAGAGTCAGGGTTTTCTTTTGACAAAACCTTCTGTAGCAAACATTCCTCCCTAAAATTTTGTTCTGTTAAAATACATATTGAAATTCTCCCTAGAACATTTGTTGCACCAAAGAGGAGTGACAGCTAATATTTTATTTCTCTAAGTAAAAAACAGTTGAGACTCTCCCCCACATTTTTAAGAGGTGGAAAACAGATAAATAGCTAGTAGGATTGAAGAAATAAAACATGAACAGACAAGAATTTTCTAATATTTACTTGCTACAGGATTGGTCTTTCTGTACAGTTGTTCCAAAGTTAAATTCCACGGTAAGAGGTAAGGCCAAGGCTTTAGCACAAAACATACTACCTGCATTCAAATGAAATGTAAATGACTGTTCTGATTCATTCTGCATTCTTGTACAGTTATTGGGAAAGGCCTGAAAGAGAAGATAAAAGGAAAGTCACAACCTTTCTTTTGTATTCAAATGATATCCCACATAGATTACAGGTTCCCTTTTTAGTGTTCATGACTTTCCAACCTACAACATTGAATTAGATCCAAGATTCTTTGAAGGCACATCAAGGTTTCTGCAGGACCCAATCAGACTATTTCCCACCATTATTATATGAACTCACTCTGTCATGTTTTCTGAGTAGTATTTTAATTAATTCCCACTTCTTTTTAAGATCTCTAATAAAAAGTTCTTACTAATACTCAATAGTCCTGAACTTCAGGACATAGGAATCATTTATACAGCACCTGCCTTATTTTAAAGGCTCTCTCCTGTCATTTAGATGCACATCTGCGTACTAAAAGAGTTTTTGCATTTCCAACCCAAAAAGAACAACAACATGCATGCTCAGCCAGTTTCTGTGAGTGCAAGAAGAGTTTTAAAGTTCTATATCATTTTCAGTTGTTTAATAATATATGTAGTGGGGGGAAAGAAACAAAAACATCTTCAGGAAAAACCCAAACAAACAAATGACAAAAACCACAAAAGAGGTCAACAATATTTCACCTATAATACTAATACCTTCTGAAAAGCAAGTATATCATCTGTACCCATACTTAAAAACTTGAGAGATTTAAAAAGGTAGATTTTTTCCCCTGTGAGGTTTGTTCTCAGTTGCTGCAGTGGGAAGCTGTAGTGTGGTGCACATGGGTGTGTTAGGGGAATGTCAGGGGAGCAGACACACTGCCAGGAGCTCACAGCTTGTGCCACAGTGGCAAATGAGACCAGGGTGAGGGCAGAAGCCACGGCAACCAAGCACCCCAACCCTATAAAAGTCCTTGACAGTGCCCATAGCCAGGGTGTGGGGTGTCAGCAAGGGCATGGATTGACACCTTGAGCAGGAAGGGGCACAGGAAAAGCACTGAAACCCAGAACGCTCAGCTAAGGAGCACAGTTACCCACACAGTAAAAAGTCACTGCCTCACCAAGCTCTGCACCCACCACACCGATCCAGCTGCCCAAACAGCGCTCCAGTGGGAACACACTTTCATTCAGGTTTATATTGGATATTGTGAAAAATTTATTTATCAAGATGCACAGGGAAGTGGTGGAGTCACCATCCTCTGATGTATTTAAAGAATGCATAGATGTGGCACTTAGGGACATCATTTAGAGATATACTTGGGGATGTTAGGTTAACAGTTGGACTCCATGATTTTAAAGGTCTTTTCCAACCTAAATGACTATTCTTGTAACCTATTGAAATGCAGCATTTCTCAGTAGCTAATCAATTATCTTTCATATCATTCTCTGGCCTCAGATTTTGCTGGTTAGGGTGTAAATCTTCAGGGATGAGGATAGAGAAGTTCCATGTATCAGTTCAAATCTGATAGCCTATACTGAAATGATATATCTTCCCTGGACCTGTAAAAAAATAAGTTCATTGTACCATCCAAGAATTTTTCACAGTCCCTGAATTTTTAGGCCATTGCCTGCAGAAACAGTGTCCAATCTTTAGCTCACTTTCCAGAGGAATGGCTACAGAATGTGTTATTTTAGTGGCACCCAGATTCGGATTTTCTTTAGTGAATGGTGCTGAACTTTAAGCCCTGCTCATGACTAGTTCAGAATATTTCTGCACCAAATTGGGCCAGAGCCAGTGAGCTCTCTCTTCCTCCCCTACTCTCCTGTAGAAACCTCTGTTTTACCTGAGCCAATTTTTGTGACAAGGTTTCCACCTTGAAATGTGGGGTATCAAGAGAACACAGTGTAGACAGTGCTGAATCCCCAGCTTTGTCTTGACATTCTATGGGAAGCCAATAATCACATAAAAAAGCTGGTCTGATATGCACTTGGAGGGCTAACTCCTTCACAAACATAAATGCTATTACCTCAGCTGGGTAATTCTTTCCTCGGGATGGGAAGAGGTGGGGGCTGCTGCAAGAGACTCATGACAGAAAATATTAAATGCTATTTTACAACATCTGCAAAGCCACAAATGTGTCTGCTACCAGATTCAATTACAGTAATCATCCTGAAACACCCCCACTGGAAAAACTAAACACACCATCCCTCCTGCAGGAATGAGACAGGGAAGAGAGATATGCTGCTGCCACTGTGCCTGTTGTCTATCCAGCCTTTCACAAAAAATTTACCAAGAGCATTTTATGTGTTCTAGGATAAGGGCCAAGCACTATGAATGTCAGTGTCTACTGACAAGGCAGATAATGCAATACCTTTTATTGGGCCAACAAATAAAATGTTATGCTTTAGCTTTCAGGTCAAAAAAGCTCTGTCTTTTGGATGTTGTCAGTATTTCCAGAGTATAGCATTTAAATGAGGCAACTGATTTACGGCATTTCAACAGTCCAACATCAATCACATCTTAGGGCTACATCAAAAAGAAAAGCCTGCTAGGAGAAAAAGGCAGGCAAGATGTCTGCAGGCCCCATTTCCTGTTTTAGAGAACCTGTCCTGATAGCTCTAACCTAAAATTATTCTGCGCTTTTATTCAAAAGTGTTACACAGCCTGTATAAAAATTGTCAAAATAAGGATCAGGTGTGGAGATGCACAAGGAGAAATTACACTGCCTAATTAATTTGAAAGAGGCTCAGGAAACCTGAAAAAAAAGCAAAAGATTCTTAGAAAATCTTCCAATGAAACTGATAAACATTGAGAGAAACAAAATAGAGACAGAAAGAAGCATTAAAGCCCCATTTAATTTAATCTAAACTGAGCTAGCTAGAAGGAAACTAAAAAAATTGATCAGGAAAATCAAACCAACAAAAAAGAGAAAAATTCCTGTGGGCCAGCTGCCCAGATCTAAGCAATTAGTTATCTGAGTAACATGATCAATTTCTTATGCATAACTAGATTTTTTGGTGAAGGTGCATTAAAGATCAGATCACATTGTCAGTAAAGATTCAAGGATGGGAAATGCAAGAGTAAAATTTTAAAATTTTCAAAATGGTGCTAAAAGTATCTTGCTTGCTTCCTTTGATTGAAACTCTGAAAACTGTAATCATCACAAGTGTAGATGAAGTTTTTACCTGTCTTATTCAGAAAAGTAATATAAAGTGTTAAATTATCTTCTTAAACAGTGTATAAGAACTGCAGAACCTGAAAATAAAAACCCTCTGTTAAGGGGCTGAGCTGGGCAAAGAAGTCTAGACAAAATGCTGACAAGGGCCCCTCTGTAGCCTCTCAGCAAAGCTGTGGCTGGCCAGGGAAACCAGAGCAAAGGCTTGCATTCCTCCTTTGTCTGAAATCCCTCAGCCTGGGAATAAACAGCTTTTCTTAGGAAAGGATTGCTCTTAGACCTTCAGTTAGTAAGATGTCTCCAGATGTTTTTCCAGATAATTTCTTTCACTGGTGCATCTTTGAGGAGATAAGAAACCATTTCATTATTAAAAACTCTTGATGCTACATGTGAAAAAACAGATTATTCTCATCCTAGTTCTTAGTGACCAGTAAGTCTCATATATACTTCCACTGCTTTGTGACCCATTTCATGCTTTTACATCTCTTCCAGTATTGTCCCCAAATTCCTTTCTCTTCTCACAAGACTTAATTTAACTGCTAACCCCAAGATGATGACAAATCACTGTACTTTTTAATCCTTTTTTCAATGGCAAATTAGTATTCCCTATGCTACATGACAGTAAGCAGCCTTTAAGCAAGTTTCTTTAGTTCCCAGTGTAATGGAAGAATTACAGCTAGCAATATGCAGTAGCTTTAAAGCAATCATGTGAGGACACTGACTCACCAGTACCTTGGCTTAAAAGATTGATGGAACCCTCAAAAATCAGGAAACTGCTTAACCTATGCTATCCAAAGAGCTATTTTATACCTTGAATACACAAGAAAATTCTATTTCTTTACAATGAAAGCAGGAGATGCAGTTGTCTACTATCTTAGACTCAAAAGCCTGTCATTAAATTAGAACAAATTAAGAAATGTAATGCACCTAAGCAATAGTTGGTTTTGTAATTTGTAAATTAAAATTTCCTATAATTTGAAATAAGTTACAAAGTACTTTCATACTAGCATACTATCAGACATTATTTTCTTATTTTCTTCTAATAATCACTCTGGTATTATCTAAACATTTTTTAATATATTACTCATGTTGTCAAAGTGTTGATAACAATTAGCAAAGCAGCATTATAAATAGTATTGAGTTATTTGCTTTGGTGGTTTTTTTGATAGCTTTTTTTTTGGTGTTTTTTTTGATAGCTTTTTTCTGAATCTTTTAAAAGATATAAGTAAAAATCATAATCTGATAAAATGAAAGTCTCAAAAGAAGAAAAAGAAAAAACAACTTCAGGCAAGACAGCCAGATTTTCAAATAGAACAGCTAACTCTTTGAGAGACCACATGGTCCCAAGGATTTTGGTAAGGTCGCCCCTGATCTAATTGAGAATCTGCCCCACCTTCTTAGCACTGGGTAAAACACCAGGACATGCAATATCCTGTTATAATTAGAGGCCAAATATTTCTTAATCCACATGAAAAAGTATATCTACATTAAAAGAAAAAAACATTTCCAATGTAGTCTCTTATAAAGATGGCATAAAAACATTTCCAAACTTCTTCATAAAACAACATTATTATGTTCTTGCACAGATAGGGATTCAGTGCTAGAATTTTGGATCAAGTTTAGATGCAGCTTTGCTCTGCAAAGACACTTACACCCCTGCAGACCCACCTCTCAAAATTTCTCATCCTCATTCAAATATACAACTCTGTTTTTCTGGGAGATGCCTTTTAGGAAGATCATCCTTAACTTCCTTAACACTTTGAGCATTCAGCATTGATATAGTCTTGAGGCATATATCAAAGTATTTCAATTAAAAATTAAGCATCTTTTAAATCAGACATGTATAGGACTTGAAACATGCTAAAGAAATAAGTGGCAAATGCTGATTTCTTAGCCTTTTCACATCAATATTTTATGCCTTCTTGATCAGACATGTCTATCAAATACTGATTACAGAGTTTAGTGAATTTCTGTCAGTCAGTGACCTGTGAAATACAAATGAACAGATGGGATCCTGTCATCTGATGTTACACACCATGAAGCTCATTATCAATTATGTTTCTAGTCCTAACTTTAGATTTCTACAAAAGTGTGTTTAAAGCTAAACTTCAGGATCCATGTTTGAACCTTTTTTCTGTATACATGCAAATATCAACTGGATTCAGTTACCCTCCCTGAAAGTCTGACATTTCTTTCATTGGTGAAGTGCAGTGAAGCACTTGAGTTTTGAAAACAGCAGAGACAAAGCCAGTGTGAAAGTCCTCAAGGTACAATAGAGTTTTGCCCCAAATTCTGTACTTGCTGAAATTCAAGCCCATTATACATTGGAAAACAAAGGTTTTCCTATTGAGTGGTTTAGTTTAAGATTATACCAGTCTGTAAAATTCAATAAATGTTACTATATTCTGCTAAGTTATTTTAAAATAACACTTTTAATCTGCTCTAACTACTAAGATAAACTGGCAAAAGTTTGTATTTCTTAAAATAAATTGTACAAATACTCAGCTTCACTGAAAGCTTTATCTGTCATAAAACGAACACAGTTTTCTACAAGATATTTGACAGTTTATTAAAATTAAATACTCCCCTCAATTAAAATTGAAACTCCCCTTGAAGACATAGATATTTTTACTTTCATATCACTGTTCAGTCCTTGCTAGTAAAACACTTGAGAAAGGAAAACAAAATAATAGATGTTTCAGTCTGCTGAAGGGTTCAGATTTGGCTGATGACCTGATCTGAAACTTACTAGCACTGTCTTCTTCTGAACAGTTCATGATAAATTTTTATACTTCCACACACAGATTCAAAAGGTCTTCCAAAATCACTTTTGTCTGTACAGTATTCCAAATCCTCTGTCTGTCCCACGTGCCTGCCACTCACACTTCTGAACTTAGCACCTGGTAGACATAAAAATCTGTTTGATGAAATTAGAGACACAGCTCTTCACCTTCATGAATGTGTGACAGCAGCTTTCAAGATAATGCAACACAGTTCATTTGACAGACTTCGTAGTTTTAGTACACACATTAAAAAGTGATTTAGTTTCCACATCTTCAGAAAGCAAACATATGCTTCTAGTCTGAACAAAAATAAGTTTGCTTTCAGAGAAATATTTAACGAGAGTGAAGATTTCAGTGTTTATCCAATTTCTCTTGTGACAGTACAGGGATGCTGAAAAGAGGAAGGAGAGAGGGAAATACTCTGCTCTGTAGTATCAGAGCTGCTGCTGCTTGGTTCTTCCTGAGACAATAAAATATTTTCAATGTTTTTGAGATATAATTATAATTAAGCTCTCTCACATATGCAACTAAGTATCCAGCCCCAGAGGAGTCTGGAGATCACTCATCCATGCAAGGTTCATAGAAAAAAATTTGGGGTGCAAAGTGTTTCAGGACTCCATTTGTCAATACTAAGAATAAGAAATCCAAAATACCTGTGGAAAATATTTATCTGCTTAACTAATAATCTGTATCTCCACAGTGAAGATTTCTGGTTGTCTAAACAAATAGACTACTGTTTTTATTCTGTAGAGACTCTAAGTAATGGAACATGCATACCAAGTCCACTTGACAGTTTTAAGGTAAAAGTCAGACTGTGCACACATTTCAGAAATGTTCTTCAAAACAGAGCTGTAGTCACAAGTCTCAGATCACACTAACTCTTCTTAAAGTAGCACTCTTCTATAACATGCTAAAAATAACTAACAAATAGAATATGCAAATGCAATATTAACTAATATTTGCTATTTATATGTCAAAATATACTATGTTATGTCTTACCTGTTAGGTACACTTCTGTATTCTCACTCTCATAAATTTTGTTGAGTTCACATCCTCGATATTAAGTAGCACTCAATGCATGAAGTAGAACAATACAATGGCAATAAGATGAATGAAGAGGCAATACAAAGAAAATGAGCATGCCAGGAATTTTTCTGCCTGCTTCAAACAGAGTTGTTTAATGTTAAATGTGCTCAGCAGCAGTGTGGGTGCTTTTCAGCTGTGGCATAAAAGCAAAATCTGGATTACTTTGTTCTACTGGCAACAAATGCGACATGCAATAATTACTACATTTAACTGAAATTTTCTACTGCTTGACTATCTATCCAGTGAGCAGGTCAACAAGTTAAATATGTTCGGAAAAATCTGCAATGATATTAAATACCCAGAAATACATATTTTAACTGTTGCATGCCTATGTAAACAAATGCACTGATGGATGATTTTTCCATTCCGTAATTTAAATGGTTTCTGGTATGGTCTTTTTTTTTTAAACCTTAATATTTTTTGAGATTAAAAGTTTTACACATATTTGGTGTTCTGTTAAGAGCTTTTGGAACAGAGAAAAGGTGGCTGAAGGTATCAAATTGCTTCAAAGATGCAACTATTAATCAATCAGTTTGAACATAGGCCAAGAATATACAGAAGCTTGTAAATTATTATGCAGAGACTCAAAAATTATACATTGGTGATGATACTGTGCAGTACTACACAGAAATAAAAACAACACCACTACATATGTCTTTCAACTGCAAAATTGTTATTTTTAAAATATTATATGGAAAATCAAACTTTCCTTGTATCTACCATGTTAGATACCAAAAGAAACATTTTAACTCTTAATTGAAGGAAATATGTTTCCTTAATCCCAACATGCAGAAATTTAAAATTGTTTTGATTGTTTGTTTTGTTTTTACACTACAAATAAAGAGTACAAATTTATTGATAGCACAAGCACTTTTAAGTTGTCTCTATAGCAGATGAATACAAAAAATTTTCACCAATGGAGCCAGCAGTAAAGCTTCCATTTAGAGAACCCTGACCCAAGAAACATCAAAGCACAGGTGCATTTAGCCAAAGAGGAGACCACTGCAATTCCCCATTTTGTCTTTTTCTAAGACACAAATAGTATTTAAGCTTCTTGTGGCTGAAAAGTAAATTTTCAACCAAAAAACACAATCTGAAGAGTTCATTCTGTAGCACGATTAATTATTGCCATGTTTAACATGAAGACACCCTTTACATGCAAGTGTTTTACACATAAAACGTGGCTACAAATTGTGTGACAGAAAAATAATTTACTTATTTTAAACCAGGACAAATCTCAGTGGAATTTGAACTATACAATCATATAGCATTTCTAAACATAGTATTGTGTTACATTAGCCAGCTGAGTACTTTCTTATTAGTTAATAGTTATGGGAGCTCACAGATATTAGGCTACCTCTAAGGAAATAAATTCTATTTCCATGATCTCAATAGAAATGGACTAGGAATTGCAATGGAACAGTAATAAAGATTCTGAATGTCAATTCTTGGACATTTTAAGACCAGTAATTCCAGCAATTTTTTCTCTTAACCAGATTTTTAGATGTCCCAGGGATTAGTTATGAGATACCTTGCACTTTTAACAAATAGAAAGAGGAAATGAAGGTTAAAAAAAGGTCAGCTTTATAAACACATTCTGCATAAATTAGATTAACTAGATGTTAGAAAAAAAAAGTTAAAATGTTTAATCTACCGTTTAATCTACTGTTAATATTATCTGGATAGTACTGCAGCTTTCATTACACTTAACCTGATAACAGTTATCTTGCAGGTAAATATTCACATTGATTTCAAGGAACAGTTGAAAAATAAGAAATCACTTTGCAATCTGGTTTGGAATTATCATCAAGACATTGAAGATATGCATGGAAATGAATGAGGGTTAAAAAATGCCTTGAGTTATAGACCAATGTAAGATGATTCAGCAGCTAATTCAAACCAAAATCACAGTGTCTTAAAAATCTACAACTAATGGAGAAAACCTGATGAAAATAAGACTTTGGTTCATCTGGAAAGTAAAAGGAAATAAGCACCTTTTCCAATCTGTGGCCAGGAGTTCACGGCATATTCTTAAGTGGCAGTGCTAACAATATTAACAATGCTGAACACTTTAAATACAGCAGGCATACTTTTTGTGTTTTCTTATATTGCTATTAATTTCTGACACTAAAAGACATTCTTTAAAGTGTCCAAGTAGGATACTAATGAGCATAGGAGGCTTTTTACTTCAAAATAAACATTTGGAATTGGTGAGTCAACAACTGGAGTGGTATCCTAGTCACCAGCCCTGTTTTAGCTCCTGCCTTCCCTGTTAAGCCTTCTGATAAGGGAAAAAACATGCTATTGAAATTCACCACCAAAGGAGAAACAGTCATCACCTAACTTCCAATCTTTCCCTTGTGCCAAGTGCTAAAAAAAAAATACAATTCATATTCTTTAATCACACACAGTTCTAAATCTCAAAATCCCAGTCTATATTTTTGTCTGAGAGTGGCATCCAAGTCAAAATCCCTTCCTATCTCTCTCCTCCCAGAGACTGGGATATCTTCTGTTCAAGCATTTCACTCTCAAGATCTAAATATCCAATCTCATTTGTATCTCTGTCTGACAGGAGTTTGTCAGAAACACAAGATTTCATGTCCCATCCATCGTGAAGTTTTAAAATCTCAAATTCCCATTCAAGCACTGTCATCAGAGATTGCATTGAAGCAATTGCATTCATAGCAAATAAAGTTTAGGAGAATTTAAAACTTCATCATTGTTTTAATTTACTTCCTTCTTCAACACTAATGAGCATATTTTAAATCCATGAGTAGGATTGCTTTTCTTCCCTCAGTTTTGAAATACATATTGTAAAGAGGATTTCTTTCACATACTCATGCAAGCAACGATGCCTGAATGTAAATGGAGCTCTTTTATATGTAACTGCTTTTATCTTCCAAATCATACTTGCCTTCTGCAAAGCAACAGAATGTGCTGATTCCTTTTCAAAGAAAACTTTGTGACAAAATGGCTCATGCACCTGCCAGGGTAATAAAGGATGGTTTTTGTTAAACAAAACCAGAACTTTTCTCCCATCCCCTGCATTTTCATTGGTAATTGCTGTATTGTTTCAAGAAACAAAAATTCACGGAAAAAATAGCAACTGCATATACAGCACTGTGTATCTACAAATTGTTGGAAGCTAATTGGAAGAAGCTTAAGCCAGTTGTTCCACCACTTGTATTTCACAGTGCAGAGGCTTCAGGAAAACTAATTCTTTCATCTTTCTGGCTTTGAAAACCTTGATTTTCCTATCAGTTTACTTCACATGCAGTCACTGTTGATTTTCAGTAAGTACCACAGCACAAACAGTTATTTGAATTAGAAGAGTCACTGATTCAGGCAGAAATAAATTTCTTGGAGAAATTTCAGAGTTTCAACAACACCCACACCCATGGAGCTTCACACCAGGTGTACTGCAAGGCACCAGGTGCGGTAGTTTTCCTCCTATCCTTTCCTTCAGACCATAACCCCTCCTGCTTGTGATTTTTGTAAGCAACTGAAATAAGCTTCTGTTCAGTTATGATTGAATACATCAGGGGAAATTTGAGACATGACAAAATAGAGGACAGAAAAAAAGACTCATGACCACAGCAAAAAGTCCAAAAGGAACCCTTAAGTTAGTATTCTGGGAGACCACATTCATTAGCAGGAAGACAGAGTGTTAGCATCTTTTTTACCTGCAAATAATGTTATTTCTGCAAATTAAGAATAATCCATACAAAAATTGGAATACCACTGGAGTTTTATTGCCCGCTTAATTTAAAACCCCATGTTTTCAAATCAAAGAAATAGAACTACACTGTGAAATAAAAATAGCTCCTTAAGGTCAAAGACACCACTAGTTTCTCAATGTAACAGAAAAAGGGATTTTAGTAAAACAGACTAATCATCACTGCTGCCCCACCAACCTGAACTAGGAATCATTGCCAAGAATCGCGCAACCCTAACATGAAGGCCTCAGAGAAGCACAGCCTGTCTCACAAAAACTTCCTACAAAAATACCTATGGTAAAGTCCAATCAACATGAACAGGCCCAAAAACTCTCTCAGAGATCCATTCTCAAACAGTTCCCCAACTATGTCTCCATATTCAGAACTTAGTTTCAACCTTAACTGCAACAGATCTGTTACACAAATCTGCATCCAGCTCACAGAAATTAGGTTGAGTGGAATTTTTTTTTATTTTAAGAAGCAAACAACAGGTCATAAATGGCTGCAGACATATATGTTTGACTAAATATACTGATATCATTCTGATATCATACTGATATCAAAGTTTCTGAATCATTCACCACAGATGACCTCTTGAGTCACAGGTGAGCAAGTCAGGATTAATTCCATCTCAAAGAAAACGTTCAGCAACATTAAAACCAGCTGAATTGAAAGCCCTCCTAAGGCACCCAATTCTTTCCACTTGACAAAGAACAGAAAACTTATACTGTTTCACAGAGCTAGAATTTTATCTTAGGAATGCTTGGCCCATATTTAAAGAAAAGTAATGCCCTTAAAGCTGCATTTCAAAACCAGGTTCCACCTCAATTTTTATACAGCATATTGAATTTAATGAGCTTTCTTAAAAAGTAAAAATCAAGTGATAATACTTTCACTGTCCCCTCCATGAGTTTACTTCATTCATATTTGGAAGTGGACAAGTTTTTAAGGATATTAAAGTATTAATTTCCCCTGCTTCCCCATTAGAAACTTACTCTTAGGGAGAAGACAGTATTTATGCTTTTAGTAATGGAAAATCAGAAACAGCTCCTTCCAAATCTTTTCCAAGGAGAAAGAGAAACATACAGGAAGAAAAATAAAACTCCTTTAGCAAGTACACAGCCCCAGACAAGCTACACTCCTGATGTGGTGGTTGCATACAAGTGTGGGCTGGTGTGCAAGGACTGGTGACAATAGGAAAGCAAGTTTCATTAGTTCTGCTACTTATGGAGCAGTTTGTTTTAGCTTATAAGCATTCTAGAAAAATTTAACAGCTATTAGAACCTTTGAAGATTACATTTGATCATTAAAGTGTGAAATAGAGAAAATTATGTCTGTTTTAATTGAAAAGCCTAATGTAACCTTTATGGCAGAGTTACCTCCTGATACATCTTCAAATGCCTGCAGAAG